ATTTTTCAAGTGTAAATATTATGAAATAAATAAATAAAAAAATACAAAATTTTCCAAAAAACATGATTTTTGATAGAAAAGCCAATGCTTTTTTCAGCTTTTATGTTTTATTCATTTTTGAACCAGAGTTTTATTTATTTGCCAAATCTTATCAAAGCACATCTCGAAATCACAAAAACAAAAGTTATTTTAATAATTTCACTCAATTGATTCCTAAGCAAAATTTAGCCAAAAACACGTTTGTGTAAAATCTTCGTTTTTTGTGCGATTTTGTTAAAACAAGCCTAAAAATCACCAAGTAAAGTCAAGAGTTGTCTTTTTCGAGTGTTTTAGAACGTTTTTACGTCAAAAAACGCAAAATCTTGTTGAAAATAAGATAAAAAAACACAAAAATTGGTTTTATAGGCGTTTAAAAATTTCGTGATAAACCACAAAATTTAATCAAAATTGTATTATTGTTACATTTTTCAAATCTTGAAGCGAGTTTTTAAATTAAATTTTGTTTTTTTTTGTGTGATTACATTGAAATGTTGGAATTGTAATTTAATCGAATCTCCCGTGATTAGTCGGCGAAGATGACAATTGAGAGAACATAAACAGTTACGTCACATTCTTATTGTAAATAACAACTTCCTTTCAAATTCTGTATTTTGTGTGATCAATAAACCAAATAATTCTAACATGAAATAGTCTAAAAAATCATCAATTTAAGTCGAACATTGCATTATTTTTGCTTTTTCAACGCATTTTAATAGTTTTGCAGTCGAAAACGCAACTTTCGCAACTTCACAAATCACAACCTTTAAACATTTATTAAAAAAACTGGTAGTTTACTCAAAAAAATTCTTTAATTTTTGTAAGTCAAACATTTTTTTAACAAAAAAGTGTGAGGTTTACAAAAAAAAATTTGCACAGCAACAATTCTTGTAACAAGCTCTGGGTTTCTATTAAAAAAATTGTTACTATGTTTATCTCGTAAGTACAAACAAGTAATTAATAATCCAAAAAAATTTTTAATAGCATTTTTATAGCCATTGCACACCTATAAATTTATTTGTCAAAAAAAATAATAGTTTCGCTAGAATAAAACCAGACTTTTGGACCATCCTGTATATATAACTCACTCTGTATGACTAGAGACAAAGTTTATTTTATCATTTTTCCCCACTTTAAAACCTATAGAAACGATCTTCTCCACTGTATCGAAGACTAAGACAGCATAAATAATCGTCTTAATAGGTATATCTACACATACTGTCAATTCCTCAAGAATTAGTTCTAAATTCCTCTCTGTAGATCTAAAGTACATTAAGTATTCAAAAATGATTCCCTTTGCTCTTGTGTCATCTATTGTGGCCACCGTAATTACTTCCCCTTGCCCTTCTTTGTTTTCCTTAAGATAAATATTACTATGTGCTACAAAGTATCTCGAATCATAAGCTAAAATGTGTAAAACGTTCAAAAGTTCATTTTCATTGGTTGGCATCCTTGCCGGCGCTGAAAATAGCGCAAGGACTGCTTTTGCAAAATTAATAAATTCTCCCTCACTAGTAGTGTCTAGTATTGATTTCAGAGCAATTATATATGTTTGAATATCGACAAGTCTCAGATTGTATTCAAAAACAATGTTTAAGGCTTTACTATAGCACATTTCCATTAAATGTTTCCTAATTTCAAAATTTGGTACTTTGAAAATGTCCCCTCTTTTATCGTGCTTAGTATTAAAGTAACCACAATCAGCCAAGAAATGAAAAAATAAGTTCACACTTTCATGAGATTCGACAAACTCGTGAATCAATTCTTTTAGAGTCATTATGTGGTCGAGGGTCACTTCTTGTACCCGTTTTAAAATTATTTGATTTCCGATTGGGATAACTTGCTCAATTTTTTGTCGAATCAAAGGGTGCTCAAACAAACCCTTGATGTTTTCCACGTGACCAATGTCGGTCCAATATCTTGTTTCACTATTCACCAAGTGATTTAATATTGACCAATTACTATAAATTTTTTCACAATCTACCACATATCCATCAAACCATTCGCGAATCTTTTCTAAATCACAGCAAAAATCTTTAATTTTCGGTCTTTGAAGTAGCTCCTCTACTTCTTCTGTTGTAAATCCAAAGTACTTTGCAAAGGGAAGTCGAAGTGTGAATGAATAGTGTGCTATATTTTTCGTTGCAAAATGCTTAACCAAATGAAGACAAGCAAATATCAATGAACGATTTAGAGCATCATTCGATAGGAAGGTATAAGAAGTGAAACTCTTTACTAAATCATCCACTAAGTCCACATCATTATTATTCCAATGATCGAATATCAAACTGAGTACAAGAGCATCATAATCATCGATGAGGATAAAAACTTTTCTCCTATAATGTTTATGTAGCAATTCAGACAAGAATCTTAAACTGTACTCCAAGAAAAATTGAGATGCCTCGAGACACTTCCTCTCATCAATTAATACCTCAAATATTGAAATATCACTCCCTTCATTTGTTAAATTTTTACTGGCCCAAATCAAGCCATTATCAGTCTTCTGGACCAAATATTCATGTTCTTTGAATGCTTTATTCACAGCCAAGGACAATCCCTTTTTGACTTCAGCATAACTGCTACCACAAACACCCCCAAAATCAATGTGTATCACAGGATGCAGTTTACAATGCATATCACAGGATGCAGTTTACAATGCATCAAAAAAAAAGCTTTTTCTTCAGTGGCAATCTTTAAGCCCTCGAAAATATGGGTTTTCCCAAGCAGGAAAAGCTTCAACATGTGCATAAGAGTGGATTTCCCGAAGGTTTTTGGTGCTGTTAGTAATAAAAATTTGTTTCTACAATCAAAAAATGACTTTATGAACAAAGTCTTGTCTATAAAAGTGGTGGTTGTTTTGATTTCGGCAAAATCGTGACTAGACAAGGCGCAAAATCGAGGTTCCAAGGCCTATAAACAAATTATTACGCGATAAACTTGCTGTTATAATATAATTATACAGGGTGTTGTAATTTTCGTTTTTATTTTTTCAAGCGAAAACTAAAAGACCTAGACGTTTTTAACTAAGACATTCTTAAGACACTTTTTTACAAGGAATCTAAATCTGTCATCGTATTTTCCAAGGCGCTCTTAATATCCGAGTTACAACACTCAACTTTGGATTTTCTTATGGACGCCATATTTGATTTCTGTATTTTTGAAAAGAGTTTTTGTTCCTGATTACAACGATGTATCACACGATATGATCAAATTTTCCATGATGATCAAAATAAAGAAAAAGCGTTTTTGCGAAGAGTGCTTTGGAAAAAATGCCAACAATTTTAACTAACTTGACGTAAATGTGACTTCCAGATCTAAATTCAATTGAACTGTCAAAATTTAATTTGTTAATTAAAATTGGTGGCGTTTTTTCCAAAGCACTCTTTGAAAAAACGTTTTTTCTTAATTTTTATCAGCATGTAAAGTTTCATCATATCATTGTAATCAAGATACAAAAAGACATAAATCAAATATGGCGTCGATAAGAAAATCCAAAGTTGACTCTTGTAACTCTCACATCAAGAGCGCCTTGGAAAATACGATGACAGATTTAGATTCCTTGTAAAAAAGTGCCTTAAGAAGTTAAAAATGTCTAGGTTTTTGAGTTTTCGCTTGAAAAAATAAAAACGAGAATTAAAGAATTTCCGTTTTTTTCCAATAATTCAAAAACTAATAATGACACATTAAATTTTCTTTCAAATTATGACCTCGTATCTCATAATAACTGAGACTCCTACGGTGGAGCTCGAAAAACGAACACCCTGTATAAATTCTATTTTATAATAAATCTGACTAAACTCACGTCATTTGAGGTTATGGAAACAAGTGAACTCTCCTCTTGGATTTCAGGTTTTTCGCTATTTTGTTCACTTGAAATTTGGCCAATAGGCAACTGAAATAAACATGTGGAAAACTTAATAAGTTTATTTAGAATAAAAGTTATCAAAATGAATATAAATAGAGCATTCGGTTGTTTGAAAGCTCTATTTAAATCTGACAAAAACTCACGTGAGAATCATCTGCTAAACTTCTGGAAACAAGTGAACTCTTCTCATGGATTTCAGGTTTTTCGCCATTTTGTTCACTTGAAATTTGAATAACAGGCTAGAATAAACATATGGAAAAAACTTAATAAATTTATCTAGAACAAAAGCAATGACAAAAGTTATAAAAATGGAAGTTTTTTTATTTCTTTTCCAGCTGTTTCAAATGGTCTCATAATTAAAAAAAAACAGTTATTCACACTGAAAGGTATTACACCATTATTACACTCGGTATTACAGGTATCTTTTTTTCTACTTATACAGTAAAATAATTTAAGATCAAGTGATCTGTGATTTTGAAATAAAGTTGGCAACACTGAATTATAAAAAAATAACAAGAAAATCCTAATTATTAGTGAAAAAACAGAATTGAGTGTTGAAAATTACAATGAAATTACCTGTTTTTCGTTTTCTAAAGAAAAACTGTTGGCGATAAACTTTTTCTTCAGAATGCGTCTTACCCGAAAACCCCTTCTTTTTCGATAAGTTAAACGAGATCTACCTTTGCGTGGCATTGTTAGAAGAAAATACTCAAATAATTATGTAATAATATCGTCATTTACTACAGTAGGTGTTATAACACTTATAACCTCACAAAACACAAACAATAATAATCTTCTTATTCTATGATAATCATCAGCGCAGCGGCGGCTCGTTAACAGGCGTTTTTAGAATAAAGTGTTTTACTGGTTGCCGCACATTTTGAAGCTATTGTTAGTTGCCTAATATTAAACACAGCTTGCACAAGAATATACTCTTTTTCATCAAGTAGGTTGTAGTAGTCTAAATGAGTCTTTAACTTAAAGGCGGATTTACACAAAAAGTGTCATTAATATGTCATTCACAACAAATTTAAGCACATTAATAATGACAAAAATCTTTATGTTTGCTACCCTATCTTCATTACGTTGTTAATTTTAATTATTTTTTGCTACCTGGGACACACATTTATTTGAAAAAATAATTTGTAGGGAAATTTTAGGTTAGGATTGTTTGAATTTTTGCATGATTGCCACCTTAAAATGATCCCTTTCAATGCACATTAATATGAAACCTAGTATACAAATCGCAAAAAATAAAGTCGATTAAAAATATGAAAATTCTGTTGTCTTTTGTAGTTAAAAAAATTATAAAAAATTGTTATATTATAAAAATAAATACCTGTTTGTTTCCATTTGGTCTATTTTTTCTGACAGGATATCCCCGACTGTTAAGACCTTTTCTTGATGTGAGGTGATATCGTTTTCTTCGTGGCATTTTTAAAAACGCAAAACTGTCAAAAAAATTAAGATTTTCTTTTTATTACAATTGGTTTTATAACCTCACAAAACACCACAAAACAAGAATCAGTAGCGGCTCGTTAAAAGACAAGATGTTTTACTGGTTGCCGCACAGTGAAGACAAAATTTGAAACTTGAATATTAAAAAGTTTAGATTTCTAATCGTCATTTAATAAAATAATGAAAAAACTAAATTAATGCATTATTTATTTTTGTTAAGTAATACATTTTTGTTCTTAAGCTTCTTGCCAAAGTATATATTTTTTTATTGAACAATTTAACAACCGAAAGCCAAGGGTTTAAAAAAAAGATAGTTATAGTTATTTTTTGTATCTGTCATATTTAGTCACAGATTTTTTATTAATTTACATAATATTCTGGATTCTCCTTATAAAACAATGAAATTTTCTTATGCAATAATTTATATTAATTAAATAATACAAAAAATCACACAATTTTTCTACAATACTTAAATTAACTCAAAAATGTCGAAGCATACGTGGCTAATCAAAACAATATTGTGATATTGTAATCAAATAATAGTTAAAATAAAATGATACAGACATGTTTTCATAAAAACAAATTACCGAGAGTTTAATTTATACTTCCTTGTTAAGATATTTAACAACAATAAAATTATAACTTGGTAAAGTACAATACAATACCAGATTAAATGAATCTTCTACTGAAACTTGTGTATGTAGGTCGCACTGCTCCTAGATCTGTTCAAATGAATTAGGATTTTTTTGTATTTTTGAAACTAAGAGGTTTAACCAAAAATGAGTAATACATTCTGGGGCTCATTTTTTGAGAAAATAATATTGTTTAAAACCGCATTTCGCTATCATTTTTTGTTTTAGACTTATAAACAAAAATTGACATTTTAGCGAAATCTAAAAAAAATTATATCTTCGTTATTATAGAAGACACAGATTTGAAATAAAACATTATACAACGGAGAATTTAATAATGTAGTTAATAATTTTTTTCAGTTGTTTGTTTAGCCGTAATAAAATAAACTTGTATTTTTTTAAATGGGAATCATAAATGGCTGTCATTTTTAAAAAACTTGTTTTTTTCTTATCTAAAATATATATATTTGTAACAAATTATTATAATACATTTTTAGCAAAAAATTATCATTGATTTTTGTTCACAGTAGGCCATGAAAAAATGTTGCATCTTCAACTAAAAGGATTTAAACTATATTATTCAACTAGTGTCACTAATGAAAGAGTTTTGTTAGTACTAAGTAATGAAAAAAATGCAAAATAAATCATAAATCAACTTATTGGCGACTAATAATATTTTTTTGTTTTTAAACAAACTAACATTACCATTGTAACTTCTAGTGATACATAGAGTGTTGRAAAAAAGCCGTTTTAATTCTTCAATAAAATATATTTTATATGACACAAAAATGACGATATGGCTATTCAAATACCCAAATTCCGTCTATGTGGAACTTTATCCTACCTCCATTAGATCATCAAAAAAWTGTTTTTTCTAATTGTGTTGACTGTTGATACATTTATTTTTTCTATTTTGGGATTTTTCAAAAATATGTAATAATTTTGTTCTGAGGCGCTCGCATATTTGTTCAATACTTCTAACGTATCGTATTTTTTTAATTTTTATAATTTTATCTATTTTTTCATCTATTTTACAGTTCACAAAACTCTTATTGATTAGTATTTACACATTTGGAGTGAAATAATTTTTCCATGACCGACTATTATCAAACAAAATATGTATTTTATTTTTTAAGTATAATTATAAAAAAATACTCTGTTACAAATATATATTTTTTAGATCAGAAAAAAATAAGATTTTCAAAATTGCCATAGCCGCCTATGATTTCCATTTTCCAAAAAAATAGAAGTTTATCTTATTACGGCTAAACCAATAACTAAAAAAATTGTTAACTACATTTTTAAATTCCTCGTAAAAAAGTGCCTAGATAATGTTTTTATTTCAAATCCGTATCTTCTATAATAACAAAGATATGATTTTTTTAGATTTCGCCAAAATGTCAACTTTTGTCTGTAAGTCAAAAACAAAAGACAATAGCGAGATACGGTTTTAACCAGTATTATTTTCTCAAAAAATGAGCCTCAGAATGTATCACTCGTTTTTAGCTAAATTTGACAATTTAGTGCTTTGATATTGTACAAAATTTTTCGCGTATGGCAGTGATCAGATAATAAAAACAAAATTTGAAAAAAAAATTTTTACTTAATTGGAATAATTTCTACATGAAAAAATTCCTTGATTTTTTATAGTAATAACTGTGAAAACAGAATAATGCAAAAGTTGATAGGTTTTGAGTAATCAACATTTTAATATTGTAAATCTGAAAGTTTCAATAATTTTGACAAAAGAAAAAGGTCCGCAATGACATTTATGACGTACCATTAGTTTCCATTAGAAAAAATCAAGAAATTTTATCATGTAGAAAAAATTTCAATAAATTAATTTTTTTTCAAATTTGGTTTTAAGGGTCTCACTACACTAAAAATTTTAAACAATATAAAAATACTAAATTAAAGTGTATACCAGATGAATAAAAAGTATGGAACCAAACGTTTTTTGCTTAAACTATTTATTTTTTGAAAAAACTAATTGATGAGTGATAGAGTACTATAAAAATGTGATGATTTAACAAGAATAAAATTTTTCGAAATTTTCTTTTGTTTTTGAGTTCTACAAAAAAAAATATTATTTTAAATGGCAACCCACTATAAAATCATTTTTCTCATAAAAGCTATACTCTAAGGATTACAACTATCTGCTTTATATTTAATAAAAAAAAAAATTTTTCACATAAATTGCAGTTTTGACAAAAAAAATTGCATAACTCAAAAACAAAACAAAATTTCGTTCTGAAAATACGATCACATTTTTTATATTACTTTAATTTATATTAATAATTATTTTCTGGAGGCAAATGATTAAAAATAAAACCGCTTGGTTCCATACTTTATATTCACCCTGTATAATCCTCTACCGTTTGCACTAGCAAAAATTTTTTTTATCAATTAGAAATATCTATTTTTGGACCATCTCTAAAACTTGGGACAGGCTGTATACAACAAAATATTTTAGTTGATCTAAAATACTAGCGTGATATTCAAATGCCGTTAGAAGAGAACTAACTGCACGTTATTTTACCATCATCGTTTCCATTCATCCTTATTTAAACAAATGTTAAAAGGTTATTAACGTGACTTGTAGTAGATTCCTATTCCCATTGTAAAACATTTAATAGTTTCTAATCGGAAATTAAGTGAAATATGGTTTTATACATACATGATTTAAAATCACCATCAGAAATTCTAATTCTAGGGCATAAATAATTATCTTTCCAAAAATAACAACTATTTTGATTTTGATTTGATTATTAAGTTGTTATAGTTTTACATTGTCATTCAAATAGGGATTTTTTTTAAAAGTTATTGCTTTTTTCATTTGCAAGAGTGTAGCGTCGATTTTTTTCTATTTTTCTATTTCGTTGTTAGAACTTGAAATTATCTAGTACTAACATTAATAGTATATTATATCACAAGGTAGAGAAGAGATTTTTTATAGTCGAGCTACGCATCTCGGGAAATAATATATGCTCTCTACCGTGTTTTATATAACATTTTTTTCACTACTAGCACATTTATTACTCAGAAATACAACGGTTAAAAATATAACCTTACTTAAAGGAGATGTTGCCTCAGCATGTCGTAAGTATTATTTTTTTTATCATAAATGAAGGTATGTTATTTTTGTATTTCTGCAACTATTAAAGGAATTTTCTTACTTCATAATATGAAATATTTGTTAAATAACAAAGAAACTGCTAAAAAAAAAGGGGAAAAAATTTGCAAATTTGAACAGACATTGTTGCTACAATTAATATTGAATGTTAAATATCTTTTCATTTATTTATTCTAAACATTAAAGGTTTATTTTTTTGATAGACAATTTATCAATCTATTAGATGCAAAAATAAAAAATAGGGGTGTTTTATTTAAATTTTTTAAGATATTTAACTTTTAACAAACTTCTCAATTTATTAATCTTTACAAATGCAAAACACTAAAAAATTGCTACAGCTTTAAATCCTGTACTTTTTTCTTTACAGAAGTAGGAAAAAATTAGTTCTAGCTGTCTTAGTTTTTGTGTAATAAATTTTTATAAAGTGCATGTTTTCGTCAAAAAAACTGTCTTATTTCAAAAACTAAGCGAAATTGACTAATAAAACTTTACATGGTTTTAAACAGCTACATCCAAAAATGCCAAGGTGTTTGTATCGTAACTTATTTTTGGGACATACTGTATGGTTGAAAATAATTTTAGGTGATGCACTAGATTAGTATGTCCTATAATTTTTTTTTAAATTTTACAATTTAAAGGTCACTAATGGAGTTTTTCAAGAGACACCTTGTAGCATTCCGGG